AGTGTTAAAAGTAATTATTGTGTTATTGTATACATAAATGTGGATCAATCATTTTAAAAACCTAGATAGGGGTAAAATTGTAATCTTAGCATTTAATTATTTTTGGTAATTAATTATTCAAATCATAAACCCTTTAATTTAGGCAAAATCGTTTGCATTACCGCTTTAAAACCCTAGACACAAAACATCGACCTTTAACAATAAAGCAGCTCTCGGCTGCTTCTCTCCCGGTTCCGGCATAGTGTGTGAAGGGAAAAGAGGTGGGTGGTTCAATCGACGGGATGAAGAGGCGGCAGTTGGTTCGAAGGAAGCAGTTATCGATCGGTGCCCTACCCCTCTAATCAGTCGAAGACGCTGACGGTAAGGGAAACGGAGGAACAGGGCATGTCGACGGAGCTTCTGTGATAGTTGGGAAATCGCGAGGAGGTGCGGAGGGAAGAAGCATCGGGACAGCACCGATCCAGGGGGGCGTTCGATTGTTGTGTTTGACAGGAAGAAGAAAAGACGAGAAAGAGAGGGGCAGACGCCCTTCTCCGGTGACTCTCTAATCGATCGGAGCCCTACATCACTGTGTATTCCATTACAACAAAATCGATTAGGCAGGGACAAGCAAAATCAACGGCGGCTGTCACAACTAGCAAATTTGGCTAGGAAACTCTATCCTTATGTAAGCATTATCAATGACAACAATTGTAACCTTGACTTGAAAACGTGATTTGAGAATATTCAATAACCACAAACTTCCATTAAGAATCCAAATGAAAGAGCAAAGCTCAATACAAACACTCCAAATGGTCAACGAAAGATGGGAAACCCTAAAATCCCGGTTTAAGTCCATTATGGACTAGGATTCCTTTATTGGGCCTAATGGACCAATAAGTCTCCAATTTGACTATTTTGGGCCTAGATACCTTAAATGGGCTCTAATTGGACCCACTTTCATGAAACTTAACATTTTGGGCCATAATGGATCCAAAATGAATTAGTTTGCCTTAATGGGCCTTGTTGGGCCATAATTGATTCAATTAGCTTTCATGGACCATAAATTCATTCTTTTATACAAAATTGGGCCGTGAACTACCCTAAAGGCCCAATGGGCCGAAAACTTCTTTATGGACCTCA